CAAAATGATTAAATAAATAAATAAGAATAATATATTACTAAATTAAAAACTATTATGTATGAAATCACCAATTAATTAAAAATTGATATATTTTTTGGAATTTATTAGAACAATTTATAATGTGAATACACAGACCATGAGGGTAAATAATCAAACATGGCTTATGCCACAAAGACAAACATGAACACATAGTCTATGAGGATAAGTAATCAAATGCAGAGCTTGAGCTACGAAACAAATGTGGATACACAGTCTATGACGGTAATACTAACCAACGCAGCTCGAAGCCATGAAAACAAACATAGGCATTAAACTCATACATAACAAACATGAGAATAGAGCCCATGAAAATCAAAACTAGCTAGTTATTAAGCATGGTGTGCCAAGGGCTAATGGAACTGCCATTAGCAACAAATGTTCTATATAAAGTCTCCTCCAAATTCATTTTCAAATACGCGAGAAAGTCATCACTATTAAAATATAGTTTCTATTCTCAAAATTAAACTCGCATGAATAGTTTTTAATCATCAAAACTTGCTAGGATAAAATTTCATAACTAATTTCATGCTTGCATTTATTGAGAAACCAAAATTACTAGAGCTAATAAAAATAATTTCATCAATCTTGAAAGTATCCTTTATAAGGAAAAACACATGCACATGTCATAATTCAAATATCCTTCAACATCTCTTTATAGTTTCCCAGGGTAAAATAATTTAATTAACAAAGGTCATCAAATAAGATTGTAAATAATTAAAATTTCTCCCAACCCAAACTTCATCTCAATCCCAAATAGGTCATCAAATAACTTATAAATAATTACCATGATTGTCAGAGTTGAATAAGATTGGCCAATTAGACCAATAACTAGCCTTTAGTCTGGTCCAGCCAACCATAAGAACTAGAGAAAAAGTGAATTAACCAAGATAGAGGTGGTCAAAACCAATGAAAATTGATAAAACTAATCAAAAATGAATTTTTCACTTTTTTGTTTTTAAAAAATCTCAATAGCCCAAACAATACTACTTCTAAACATGTGATTATTAATTAATTAATATTTTCAATCAACCACCTTTCATTTCCTACTCTGGCTAGCTCTATATCCGTTGTTCCACTTCTAAACTTGTGTTCTTGTGATAACTTTTTTTTTAATATTCATAAGTCAAATTTTGCCTCGATGTTAGACTCCATAATGCCATGACATTTTAGAGGCAACATCCCTAGTACCTCCACTCCATAACAGTTTACTTAGCCTCTTGTTGATCAAAACCCTTTGCGAGTAGTCATTTTCATGAATAGTCATATAAACCTCTCGTCAATAACACCAATGTATGAGCTTAAATTCAAAGGAAAAGCTCACTACAAAAGATTAACCTACCAGAAGAGAGAGCCCATTAAACTACTTATAAATCCTATGCATATTGGGCTTCCTAATGCTGGGCTCATAATATTATCTCTCATGGAAGGTTTGCATGACAATGAAAAAAAAATCATCAACATCATTATCAATGTAAATTATAAAAATAAAATCAGGAAGTGTTGTTGTTACACTTTTAATCTAACCTTGTTTTAAATAATTAAATATACAAGCATGTGTAATGGTGAAAATTAATGGGAGAATGACATTTAAGGCCTTCAAGGGAATTTATTGTAATAAGAATCCATCAGTTTTGCATCCGATATTGTCTTATGAAAACACACGTGTTGTTAAAAATTGAACTTGCTTGTTAAATTTCTAAAGAAACCGTAACAAAAATAAAGTTAAGGTTCAACTTTTAATAACATTTACATGTTTTTGAAATTAACTTTGATCAATCAAATGGGCTCCAAATGATAATTTGAATTAATTACTCTTCTACTCCAATTTATAAAATCATACTCATTGGTTCTTCAATAACTTTACAAAATTTAAAAAATATTTACAACTAATTTTTTTAAAAACCCTCTTGGCTATCTTTAACTTCTAGCTTAATTGATAACTGTTCCATCATTTCTCCCTTCCCTAATGAACGACTCTATCAATCAAAGGGGTAGTTTTAAAATGCTGTAAATTAAACATTTTTGTGGGTATTTGACTAATTGTAATTAATTTTTTTAATCTCATGAAAATAGTTGACAAGGGCTAGCTTCTTATAAAAAAGACATGAGAAGTATTGGAATTCAAATTTTGAATTCCAATCTATTCAATTCTTTAATGACAAAAGTGGAATCAAAATTTCTCCTAACCCGAACTTCAATCTCAATCCCAAATAGGTCATCAAATAGCTTCAAAATAATTACCAAGATTGTTAAAATTGAATAAGATTGGCTTATCTGACTGATAACTAGCCTTTAGTCTAGTTCGATCAACCATAATAACTAGAGGAAAAGTGAATTAACCAAGACATAGAGTCGATCAAAACCAATAATGAAAATCATAAAACTAATCAAGAATTAATATTTCATTTTTTAAATAAAATCTCAATAGCCCAAAACAATACTATTTTATGTTTTTATATGTCTTGTGATTGGTTTGTCTATATTGTTATATACATATATATATATATATATATATATATGATGAGGATAATTCAATGGTAATTTTTATTAATTATGAAAGCTTATGTTAGTTTGGTTAGACAATTCATGTGACATACACTGCCTCCATTTTTAAATATAAACAAATTTAACCCACTATCATAGTTTAAGAAAGTTAGTTAATCATAATAATTATATATGAAATTGAAAAGTTTAGACTAAATCTTGGTAATTTGAGATGAAAAAAATAGTATTTTACTATAATGTTGGTGGGATTAACCATAAACTTGCCATGTATTATAAGTATGAATAAACATTATCTTATATATTTGTTCATAAAAAATTATCTTAAATATTTTTATTTTGCATACATATTCTTTAAATTTTATATTATTTTAATTAAATCAATCCTACCATGCACCATTCAATACCCTGACTGGTTGAATACCTGCTTAGTTCTTCAACATTGAAAATAACTCTTATGACCGTTGAAACTTTTTCAAACACATTTGTGACGACATGGGAATTTGCTAGTTGAAACATTATATAAAGGCCTGAGAAGTCCCAACCTTGCTATCTACATTTTACAACAAAGAGAAATAAACCCTAACCAATTAAGATGTTTGCCAAATTGTTAGTAGTTTTTCTTTTGGTTTCTGTTGAGTTATTTCTGATCCCAACAACCTCTCTTGCTCATGTGAAGCCTTCAATCAACCAACACAAATGGCCTCTATCTACTGGAACACCAACACCACATGGGGAATTCAAACAACCACCTCTCCAACCACCACCAATAAACAACTCTCCACCAAGAGTCAAGCCACTAAGCACTCTAGAGAATGAGTCTAAACTTGAAGCACATGATGGGGTTCCATCAAAATACAAGTCACCTCTAAAGAATGAGCCACCCACTGCCAATTAGCTGGTGATCATGTTCATCACTAGAAACTTAAATAAAGCTTATATTATATGTGTGTATGTTGAAATAAGAGTGCTTTCCACTTATGTGTAAATGTAATTCTCCTTTTAGGGGTATTATAAATAAGTGCTGCATACAGTTGTGTGTGTGTACTCTTTGTGTTATGAAATTATTGTTGTTTAAGAAATTCAAAGCCAATTGATCCCCTATTTTTTTTTTCCAAATTATTATACTCTCTTTTACCATGTTCAATTCTATATATAAATCATTGTTAACTACTTCATTAGATTAAAAAATGGTAGTTAAATTATTGATGTTTTTCTTGGGGAAAAAACAAGAAAGAATTTGACTAATAGAAAGGGTAAAATTGAAAATAATAATAATTAAAGTCTATCTTTTTATTCAAAGAGACTAATAATAAAGAGAATCAATTTTTCTAGGAATGTGACTTATATATATATATATATATATAGGACTAGAGAGAGTCCCAATTATCTGCTCCCCTCCCTCTCCACCTCTATTCTAGAAAATATGCATGGGACTATTCATATTTGTATTAAATCAATTTATTATGTTGATTTTGCTCCATTCTTAATGTTTCTTGTTGTTTGGCCCCCAATAAAATTGTGCTTTACTTGAAAAAGCTACGTTGAGTGTAGAATTTAAGCTTAATCATGGGAGAACTTGATCTTAAAAATCCGTACGCATATATATTATATCAACGTGGACCAAAATTTTAACAAAAATTATTGTTATCATTCAAATATTGGGCTCCAAACAATAAGCTAGGAGTTAAGAAGAATGACACGTAAGGACCTCATAAGAAGATTGATCTCAAATCAAGATTTTTAAAGATTTTTAATACTAAACATAAAAGAAATAGTACTGAACTTATCAACTTTAATTGTAAAAAGATCCTAATTTGACATTAATTTTCTTTTGAGATCCTTACTTGTCATTTGCTCTTAATTAGAATTATTTATTCCTTTTGGTCCTATTTACAAAATCATATCCATTGATTCTAAAACAATAACCCTTACAAAATTTAATAAAACATTTGTAACTCATTTTGAAAAATGTCCAAACCCCACAACTTGAGTAATCAGTAAGCATTTTTATAAGCACTCTTTGAGTCTAAAGGCATGCCCTAGTCTTGGTGAACTTTCAAGACCGAGCTCACTAAATTTTTTCGTCACAAAAAAAAAATGCCCTCACCTCTTTAACTCTTTGCTTAATAGATAGCTTTTCCATCCTTCTTCCTTCCCTTATGAGCTGTAATCTGTCTTTTAATGAACTACAGGGTGAGATTCCAAGTGGCGGGATCTTCAAAAAATTAACATTTGAATCTTTCATGATGAATAAAGCACTTTCTGGTGAGCCACAAATGCAAGTGCCTCCATGCAAAAAAGGAACAAGTAAAAGGTCAATGGAAAAATTGATTTTGTTGTAATGTGTATTGCCAATGGCTTTGTCAACAGCTTTAATTGCTACAAGCATTGTCCTCTTTCAACAAAAGCGAATAAATCCTAGGCATACCATTAAAAATGTTTTATCTAATTCAGAAATGCCAAGGAGGATTTCTTATTTTGAAATTTTGGATGCAACTCATAGATTTGATGAGAAAATCTTACTTGGAAGGGGAAGTTTTGGGTCTGTGTTCAAAGGAAAACTTTCAAATGGAATAATGGTGGTTGTTAAAATATTCAGTTTTGACACAGAAGCATTGTCCAGGAGCTTTAAGGTAGAATGCAATGCAATGCATAATTTGTGCCATTGCAATCTAGTAAAGCTCATTAGTAGTTCTTCTAATGCTGATTTGAACTGTTTGATAATGGAGCTCATTCCCAATGGAAGCCTTGAAAAATGGTTATATTTTGATAACTATCATTTGGATTTTCTACAAAGGTTGAATATAATGAGAAATGTAGCATCTCCTTTAGAATATCTTCATTATGGCTTATCAACACCAGTAGTCCAATGTGATTTGAAACCAAGTAACATTTTGTTGGATGATAATATGATTGCCCATGTGAGTGACTTTAGATTTGCCAAATTTTTAGACAAAGGGAAATCTAAGACACTTACCGAGACAATATCTACAATCGGTTATATTGCACCAGGTAATTAACTTAAATCTTTATTATTCTTCTTTTACAAAGCCCCATTTAAATTGGAGTTACTATGGTAAGATACATATATTGTCGCTCATTTTTTCATATTAACAAAAATCAAACGAAATTAGAGAAAAATAAATTAGTTAATGTTTATGTGAAATGAATGCACTTGTTTACAAAACATTATGTTTTTATACATGAGAAGTTGAATCGGCGAACGACAGCACATTATTAAAGTTATCATGTAAAATAATTGCAATTGAATCTAATTTTCCTAATTCTTATATAAAATTTTTATTGGTTATTTCCTTACAATTTTGATGGCGTTGTTTATATTAAAAAAAGAACTATACTTATTTAACTAATTTAGTATACTTATGTTGAATTCTTTATCTTACTTTTAAACATGAATGAGATGGTGTGTTTTAATGTACATGGTTGTGTTTGGCCAATAAAAAAATGTATGTGGGTTCATGTTCATCAATGCAGTAAGTAATTTTAATATAGTGTATATAACAATTTGAGATATATATATTCCTGTCAAAAATATATCCCATATATTGTATTTGATGAGAATGTTTTCTGATAGTTTTTATGTTCTAAAAACCATACATTTAAAGTACTGTTTGATTGTTATTTTAAACCTATTACATATATATATATATATATGTATATATATATTTCCAAGAAAGTCTAAAGAATACTTCAAGAAATGTATAGGAATTTGCGCTATTAAGTAGTTCTTATTTTACTTGTTATATTAAGTTACTTGATATTTGACTTTGGTTGAATTAAATTAAATCATATGCAAAATATGGATCTGCTGGAATTCTTTCAGCAAAAGTAGATGTGTATAGCTATGGAATAGTACTGATGGAAGTGTTCACAAGGAAAAAGCCAACAGAGGGCATGTTTGTTGATGGATTAAGCTTAAAGACTTGGATAAGTCAATCAACGTCACATGCATTGATTCAAGTCACGGATTCCAGGTTATTACAATGAGATGAACATTATGTTGATAATATTTTGACAACTACTTCCAGTGTTTTCAAATTGGCCTTGAATTGTTGCTTTGATTTTCCAATAGAACGTTGCAATATGTTAGATGTTGTAGCGTCATTGAACAAGATCAAGGACCTGTTTATGCAAAGAAGTCAAGTTAAAAAATAATAATATTAAATCTATTTTGCAATTGGTGTTGTTGTCTATCCTTCATTCCTCGACTATCCCTAAAGAAAATGTTGGATATACGTAATACCTTGTGAGAAAGGGTGATGATATGTTCTTCTAAACATTAAATACAAACTATGAGTTGTGAATTTGTAAAACCTGTTTGTTTTTATTTTCATGATTTTTACTTGTATTCAATAGATTGTGAATCTTTTGATTAATGATAAGTAGGGGTCCATATATTTAAGTTTTTAAAGATGTTATCAAAGAAAAAAAACAATTATGTTATAGCTTTACACTTACAAAAAAGTCCATCCATCCACGCCTAGAAAAATTTAATTTAGTGACAAAATTAAAACGAGAGATTATTCTTTCCTCGCTAAAAGTCTGAATTAGTTGACAAAAAAAATTCTATTTCTAAATTTCTTTTCAATTAGACAATATAATATATTAAACAGTAAAAACATAAGTGAAAAGTTAAATGACAATATAGTCATTTTAATTGAATCACTATACGCCAAAAAAATAGTTATAGGCGTTGCGATTATATTCTTCTTTCCAATTATGCCAGGGAGAATTTGTAAGAAATCTTTACATAGATCCAATGCACTACATCATTTATATATTTTCCAGTAAAATTATTCATGTCAGTTGGCTGTAAATATAAATTGATTTTACAATTGATAATGGTAGAGAGAAAAAATAAAAGAAATTAAAGAAACACTATTACAAAAATAAAATTATTAAAAATAATCACATAATACTTTATTTGATTGAAATAGTGCAACTTTATTTGATAATGGGAGAGCTTGCATGCCACTAGACTATAAGAATATTGGCATAACAATATGAAATTGAATCCCATAAACCCAAACCTATTTATAAGAAACAAGTTATATTCCAAAAAATAGTAATAATTATTACGTATAAAGCAAAATTTTATAACATCATTGTTTTCTGGAATTTTAACGTCTAGCTAGCCAGTCAATCTTTCCCTCAAAACACGTTCTTCTACTTTTCTTCACCCCAAACACTAGAAGTGTATCCTCCACTCCTCTTTCAAACCACCAAGCAGAGTCATAACATATGAATCTGACTTCAGTGATCTCATCACACTGGCACTCATCAGTGTGATGAGATCTGGACCATCCAGATTTTGATCTGGATGGTCTAGATTTAAAGTAATATTTTATTTTATATTTATTAAATAAAATTATAAAAATTATAAATATATTTAATAAATTTTTATTTTTAATCTGGTCTAGATGTAATTTAGAGGGTCTGATTTAATATTAAAATTTTATAATTGCTATATATTAAACTATATAGAGTATATCTAGATAGTTAATATATAGCAATTATAAAAATTTAAATATTAAATTAGACCCTCTAAATTAAATCTAGACCATATTAAAAATAAAAAATTTATTAAAATTATTTTATAATTTTTAAAAATTATACATAATATATTTGGATAGTCAATATATTGTGATTATATAAATTTTAATATTAAATTAGACCGTCCAAATTTAATCTAGATCAAATTACAAATAAAAAAATTATCAAAACTATTTATAATTTTTATTTTAATAAATATAAAATATAATATAATATTGCTTTTAATCTAACCTGAATGGTCCAAATCTCATCTAGGTGATGAGCACCATAGACGAACCCCATAACATGCTCATTACAATTGAGATCATTCAATTATTCATAAAGAAAATCACATGGCTTCTGTTAAACAAGTTTCCCTTTCGTTACTAACTCCTTCTCATTTCTTCCTTATTGGAGATCTCCAATGCCATAGTAGTAGCATTACGATCTACTAGGGCCAAAACAGGAACCAAGGCTCCCTCGCCAATGCCTATAACACCAACAACTACAAATACGTCAACCTAGCTTGCTTGTCTGCCTTTGGCAACGGCCAAAACTCTTAAACTTAACCTTACCGGCCACTGCAACCCAACAGCCAATACATGTACTAGATTTATCACAGACATCAAAACTTGCCAAAATAAGAGCATTAAAGTGCTTCTCTCTCTCTCTCTCTCTATATATATATATATATATACACAGCAGGAACAGAAGTCACTCCCTCAACTCTGCCGATAAAGAAGAATTAGAGAGAAAGGAGAAAATCAGATGAAGGGAACAAATCAATATTCAACTCAATTTTTTAAAAACAAATTTGAATACAACTGAGAAACTCTAAGATTACTTATAGAGCCCTAAAAATATTAACATAATAATAAATGAAATCTTAACATAGTCCTAAAAGATAACAACAAGGAGAATCTAGATTTATATATTTAGGTATCCTATTTATTGGAAATAGAGAAAATATAAAATAATCATAAAAAGTATAGATAAGAAAATCTAATTAAACCCTAAATAATCTAATGGATATCCAATATCCTTATTGAAAACAATCTTAATTGAATAATCCTAAATATCTAAAATAAAACTAATTGAATCTCATCCATATTCCATCAACAATCATGTTCACTGCTGCTTGGCGATGCACGGTTTTGGATGGCATTAATTTCGATATCGTGGCCGGTTCAAGGCAGCATTGGGATGATCTATAGCTAAAGCTTTAAAGGACTTGGACCAGCAGTTGATCCTCTCTGCTGCACTGCAATTTACATTCACAGACACTCTCTTGGGCTCGGCGATCAAAGCCTACTTGTTCGATTATGTTTGGGTTTAATTTTTTAACCCTCCATGTCAGTATACCGATGGAACCAATGGACCGGCGTACAAGTCAAGTTGATGTTCTTGGGGATTTCGGCATCATAGTGCGCGGCTAACAACAGTGTTTTATAATGTTCTGACGTCTCAGGTTCTTCTAGCTGTCAAAGGGTCTTCTAAGTATGGCGCAGTCATGATCTGGGACAGGTTCTACGATGGCCAAAGTGGATATAGCAAAGCCATTAAAGATAATGTCTAAAGAACTGCTCAAGTGTGTTAGCTTTTGAATGAGCAGTTGATCACTGAAACTGCTTCCATTGATCAAGTCCTATGTATGTCATAAATATGCCTGAAACAAATAATTAATGAAATTAATTAATATATTTCACCAAAAAAAGTTAATTATGAAAAATAATGTAATTTTAATTTCTTATTTGTGTGTGTGTGTGAAAATATAAATTATTTACTAGTAAGGTCCTTGCATCCCTTATCTTGGTATGAATGACATCTTTAATTTGCAGTGTGGAGTGTGGACTAACCATAATGGTTTTTAAAACTTTATGGCAAATATACGTCCTCTGTCCTTTAACGGATTTCATTTTAATTCCTTAACTTTATGAAGAATTTTTTCAACCCTTTTAATCTTAATACCTTAATTCTATTAACAAAATTGTTGACAATGAACTTTTAAATGTTAACAAAACATTATCAAATGTTGCCATATTGAATTTATTTTATAAAATTCATAAAAAATTATTTAGCTAATGGGGTGAAAGTTAGAGGACTAGAAAAATTTTATAAAATTAAAGATCTGAACTAAAACCTTACATAAAGTTAAAAAATAACTACACGTAAATTTTTGTCAAATTTTATATTGTGCCTCATAGTGGTGGTTTAATTTTTATTTATAACTTTCTTGTAATTCATAACTTTACTTCAAATTTTTTTCACTTGTGTTTCTTCTTTTTTATTTTAAATTTATTTATTAAAAATTTTATCATGCTTCATTTTTCCCTTCATTTTATATTTTCTGTCATTTCATTAATTTTGGAAATAACAACATTTCATTTAGAAATTAAATTAATACACTTTAAAAGAAAAAATTTGCATGCGCTGAGCTGATAATGGATGAAAGTGAAATGAAAAAAAAAAATAAAGTAATACTAAGCAAGGATATATAAAATGAAATAAAAACTAAAAATACTGAGAATCCGGAAAATGCATATTGGACCGGACCCTCAAGAAATAGAATCTGTTAATTCACTTACATTTACAGTTCTTTTGTCTATGCTTTTCGCATTTTGAAATTGATGCATCACAACCTCGTTTGAAAATTTTTAATCTGGCTTTATTCTCCACAGACCTTTTTTTCCATACAAATTCTCACCAAATTGCATTAGAAGTGAAAGTCTCGAGTTTTAATTCAAATGGTTCAAAGAAAAAATGTTTGAAAAAGAATGATAATGGAAAGACATAGGTTGCAATAGTTGGTAAATAGGTCTCTAGCCATGCCAATAGTTTGAAATAAAGCAATAATTCACGAAACATTTCCCAATACTTCCATTAAAAAAGAAAAATTATGTTTTCCTTAATATATGGATATTATTTTATGCATTTGTAATTTTTCAACAAGATCTTGCTGTGAAAAGAATATGCCGTGTCTTTTAATTTGACGGGCAAAGAGGACTTTGACTTTTTTCGTCATTTTACATACGACTGAAAATTCCTTGGAAAAAAACATAATGGACGTGATAAGAACATTCCATTTGAGTCATGAGTGATAGTTACGGGAAAATTAATCATACTTTTAATATATGATGATTTAATTTTCTGAAATTATAAGGTCTTTCGTGTAATATAAGATGACATTACTTGTAGAGAAAGATTGGTTTAGAAGTCGCCAATGAGACTCAATGTCACTTGAGCTTGACTTGAGCATATTTCCTTTCATATTATTTAGTCAAGCCTGTCAAACTCTTCATATTAAGTAAGTGTGAACATTGCCCATTGGGATGATAAAACTTCCATTTTCTTAAATTTGTCTCAATTATCAATTTAATCTCTCAAGTTTATTTTTTTTTTTCAATTTGGTTCCTTATATATTTTTTAAAATCATCCTTTAAATTTTAAAACACAAAATGAATTTTATATTAATCTAATGTGTAAAGTATATTGTTTTTGTTCTTTTAATTAGACACTTGGTTAGACACATGTTAAGTTTATGCATTCCTTATATAGAAAAGTTTATATATTTCTAAAATGCCTTCTAATTATTATTATTATTATTATTATTATTATTATTATTAGTTGTGAGACTTTTCTTTTAATATTTCCCCTACTATTTTCTCTCCATTTTTTTTTTCTTTTTTTTTCTTACTTGAGCTTGTACTTTTGAGCCTCAAAAGCTCAAGGTTGATAATCACCATCCCCTCTTTTTTTTTTCATTTATTTTATCTCTTGGATTCTTTTTTCTTCTCTTCATCTTTGCTTTTATTTCTTCATTTTGCCCGTTTTCTGTGTCATCAATTTTTTAAATTCCTTTTCTGATCTTCCCCCCCTTTTTTGATGCATTCCAAATCAAGTAGCTCTTGATGTCATGTCAAAAAGGTGACATGCTCCTTTCATTAAAAAATGTGAAACATTTTTTTAGAAGTTAAATTTTAAATCACTTACATTTTTTGATAGAGAGAACTCACAAGACTTGTTGGAAATATGCATCAATCATTAATCTAAAGAATTCTAATCAAAATAATTATGGCAACTTACTACTGTTTGTTTTGTCTTGAAATCCTGCAATTTCTATTATTAAAAAATAAGTTCTCAAAATAATAAATCCCATTCACAACTTTTATTTAAAGAATTATAACTTTTATTCAAAAAATCTTAATAATTAAATAAAAAATTACAATTTATCAATAAGAGTAAAACGATCTTTTCAATTTAAAATTTATTGACAAAGAGACCTCTAGAGACTTCAATGAAATCATAACATGTCGAGGGACCAAATTTTCATTTATATAATTTGAAAGGATTTTATTATTATTTTCCCAAAAAGATACTTGTAATTTCTAATTTGCTATTAGATTTTTATCATTTACCCAACAAAAATTGTCATCTATATTCTTCAGTAGTCACTATTCTCCATGTTTCATTTCAAAATTTAAATTAATGATAAATTTGTTGTTTCACCAAAAAAATAATATATCAAAAAAATTACTAGGAGAGCATAATAATGATCACATTTCATGCTATGTTTCTCTTATTTGCCTATTTTAGGAATTTTTTTTAGCATTCTCCCATATTTAAAGTTCAAGTGATTTCTGTAAAATAAAATTCAGAAAGATATTTTCTTCCATCCCTTTTCGGATTTCCCAATTTCCAAGACCCTTGTAACCCCAAACAACACCCCCCCTCAAAAAAAAAATTGGTATGAGTAAAATTCACGCATCATCCTTAACTAACTTTACAAAATAAGCAAATACCACAAAAGAAAATGTTGATGAAAACAACTAAGATACTGAAAAATATTCATAAAATATGAAAATACTAAATGATAAATTAGTTTTTTAACCATTATAACCAAAGATAAATTTTTTTTTTGCTTTTTATGAAATCTCATGACAATAAATCACTTTTTCATAGAATCTTTAAACAATCATAAACTCATTTTTTTAAGCACAAACTATACATCCCTTAAAATTCTATCATGCTCATCCCCTTCTATATACATCATCAAATAAGATAAAGATAACCAAAATTTAATATACTAAAAAAGTAAAAAGCTGAGATATTACAGTCATTATTTCATACATAGTGTAGATAAGTGATTATCCACAAAGGGGAAAAATTATAAAAAAAAAAAATCAAATGTCATATTAAAAGGCAAAGGGGAAAAAATATTCAAGAAATTGTCAGATAGAAACATTCAATAGTTTAAAGTGAGGAAACTATATAAGTACCTATGAATTTATTTTTTTGATGTATCTGTGAACAAACCATTAAATTTCATATTTACATAACCATTTGGTCACAGATGCACTGAAAAAATAACTTCATGAACACTTGTGCACTTTTTTCTCACTTTAAGCTATTTGATGTTCTTAGCCGACAATTTCTTAGGCATTTTTGCTCTTTTGTCCTATATTAAATTGTGCATACAAATGAAGCATTCAGGAATACAACTTTTGGAGCTCATGTCTGAACTTGGCTTTCAGCTGTTCCCTTTTTATCTTGAGAGCGGCAGTGACTAACCCAGATTCAGGCGTCCATGGATCTGGCAGTAACTTAAACTTCGCCGGAACCTCAGTTTTGCCCAGTTTTGCAGCTTTTGCGGCCTGAGAAGAATTAAAATGAAAGAAGTCAGTCAATGTCAAGAACATAACAAAATTATTTATAATTCATTGGATATAAATAGTAATTCTACAAAGCTGAAGGCGCATCACTTCAAATGGAAATAATGCCTTATTACAGCAGGGGCACACATCAGCCAGGCTTATCATCAAGAAGAGAATCAGGCCACTTGAAGGCTTGGTTTGGATGGAGAGAAAAGTGAGAAGAAAATAGAAAGAAGAGAAAACTAGAAAGAGAAATTTTTAAAAAATATAACAATTTTTTTTACCATTTCTCTCTTCAGTTTTTCTTCCTTTATATTTTTCTCTTCTCCATCCAAAGGAAGGGAAGGGGAAGGGGGGGTTAAAAGAAAGAACACATTATCTATCTTAAACAGCTTATACAAAGTCATTAGTTCCATTTTACAGAGTTCGAAAGAACACTACCTTCTAAGCACATTTACAAAACCGCATCACACATCAACCAGGAGACTAAAAGAAATAACACATCATCTGTCTTTTCCTCTTGGTCTTATAGTAGTGCTATTTTCTTTTCTTAACTGGACACTTCTCCTCCAATCTTGTCAGCTGTTAAAACACTCTTTATTCTTTCTTTTTGTATCACTTTGCTTTTTATTAATTTATATTTGATTCAGTTCCCAAAAAAAGGGGTATTCCTCTTTGACACAGAAATTAGACTTCGCATAGTGTAAAAATACTCATCATGCAAATTTTATCAATATAATTCCAGAGTCCCAGAGAGTGGCCGACCCAGGAAAATATTCCTTCAACATCAGGTATTTTCTTCCCAGAATGAATGTGTGTGGTGTAGTGGCAGAAAGAATTGGGGGGGGGGGGGAGATGGAACTGAATAATACTTCTGAGTCTGAGATTACTCCAAAAATAATTCTGATTTACACGCTGCCCCACC